GCAACACCGGGAGGGGGCGTTTCCTTGCTGTATCGCTCGCTTACATTATTCCGGAGGTTTTTTCGCATTGTTCGTTAACTTTGCTTGGGCCATGCTTTGTTTTCTTCCCGGTTGCATCATTAAGGAAAGATTGTGTCTGACCGGACGCGTCAAAGAGGCATATCATCCACTGGGAAAATGTCATTCGTGATAAAGAATACGATCTCTGCGCGGATTGAATGAGCCTTGTCGCCCCTGTCTACAGGGAACTACTTAGCCGGCCTCACGGACGAAAAACTGCCCTTCTGACTCCAAGCCTGCCAACTGCTGCGGACAGCAAGCAACACCACTGAAACTTTATGAACCTCTTACCTTGAAGATACTTCGTGGGACACCGGACCAAAACGTCGGTAGTGGCCAGTCTTCCGACTGACCATATTTTTTTGCGTTGTATTTTAATAAACCGTGTTTTATGTTGTTTTTAGTATGACATCCAAAGCAGGAACGAAAAACTCTGTCTCTCACTTATGGAAAATCGAAAATAAACGGAATTTTGTAGGTTAATATTGCTTTTTTGAATGGCAGTAAGATGAGCTAGAGCCTTCATCTTTAGCTAGCATTCCTACTGAATATGACATACATACATCTAATTTTATTCTGGATAAATAAATAACCTTCAAAGTTTTTAATTCAGTTTGGTTGCTGATTTGAAATTGGCGTCAAACTCGGTGGTTTGTTATATCTAATTTTTTTACGTCGTTTTAGACATCTGTCCGCAGAAATCGCGGACGAGTGGAAAATCTTTGATGAAGCAGAAATTTCGAATGAAAAGCCGGACTCGAAGCCAAAGCAAATCCTTGCCATCGTTGAGGATATCGTCCCTTACTATCTGTCCCACAATGGAGAGGCTGAGGCATGCGACCTCATCATGGAGCTCGAGCGTTTGGAAATGCTGCATCGCTTCGTTGACGAGGAGACTTATGGACGTGTCTGTCTTTATATATTATCGTAAGTTTCAAGCGGTTGTAAAAGATTTTGCACGATTTATGGAGATAAAGGTTCAATTTTGCCATCAGAAGACTGTTTCAGTTTCGTTTGTTCATATTTATATGACCATCCAGTCAGTAAAGCAAGAAATCTGTCATATCAGTTTTCGGACAACCTCAGTTGCGTGGTGTGGTACATATTGATTTACAGATCGAGATACGCAAAACTTTTATAATCGGTTAATTTGCGAATTAAAGTAGTTGTAGCTAGTAGTTTTGCACTCTGGAATTTCCGCTGTAATAGTTCTTGGCTTATATTAAGATTATTAGTTTTAGTCTAAACTCGTTAAGTTTAGTAACGTAAGTCGAAAGGGCAGGTGCTCTTTAAATTTTCTAAATCTTCGATAAAATTATCTATTTCATATTAATGATCCGGGTTTTTAACTACGTAAACATAGAGTGTAAAAAATAAAATTCATTTCTTACTTTACGCCGATACTATGATAGTGTAGGACAGGTGGAAAATTTTACACCTGGTAGTACGGCAATATTGCACTGCCCTCTTGCTTCTAGTCGTCTGTGATCTATTTAAATACTTAAGTACCGTGGAGCTGTAGCCTGCTTAAATGGTCCCCATAGGCGGCTAGAAGTAAGGGACGGTGCAGTGTTGCG